TTGTATATGTATAAAGGTCTCCAACACTGCTGTCATTTGAAACCTAACATTTTCCCTGGGCTCTGTTGCTCTCCTCTGGTGCCTAATGAAATGAAGGCAGAAGGCTGGCAAAGCACAGAGCTGTGGAAAAGCCATGGATAGAGGAAGGGGTGGCCGAGTCAGGAGATGGAGCCCCTCCCACCAGTTTCCTTTGTGGCTTGGGGTAAGTCTGCACTCACCTGGCTGCAGTTTCCTTTTCTGCTTAAAGAGGAATATAGTGAAGGTGGTCCCTAGGGCTTCTAACAGAGCTGACTTCTGGGTTCAATGTGGCGCCCATTCTCTGACACATAATTACTCTCCATTGCCCTTTCTTGAGAACTCCCCAGCTGCCACCCCATACACAAACACACACACACACACACCAACCCCAATCCCAAACTCTGGCCCTACCTTAAAGCAGAGAAGCAGAGCAGAATCCACAGAGAGAGCTCTAGAGCCAGTAGCCTTCCCAAACAGCCACTTAGCAACATCCCCCTGTGACTTCCCCAGCTGCTTAATTAAATTAACCAGCCTCCTAAACAGGTCCCGCCTTGCAGCCTACACAGTGCCTCTGTCCACTCTAACCTGGTCCCCACCCTGCAGATGAATGATCTTTCTAAAAGCAAATGTGATCATGCTACTTCCCTCCCTCTAACCGCTCAGCAGCCCCTCATTTCTCTACAGGACTTAATGTGGTGTATAAGGCCTTCCATGATTTGTCCGTCTGTACTCTTTACTTACCCATCTTTCTCACTATTCCTTTGTACTCAAAGCTCCAATCGTATTAAGGTTCCTTCAGTTCCTAAAATCCTCTTGTTCATTCTCATTCCTGGCATTTTGTATAACTGCTCCCTCTGCCTGAATCACACCCCTTTCCCAATCTGCTCCTCTTCTTTCCCAGGGCAATCTCCTACTTAGCCTTCAAGCCTCACCTGCGATGCCATTTCCTTCGGGAAGCTCCCCCAGGTTGGGTGAGCTGTGTGTTGGCTTCCTCCTATAGCACACCTGTGCTATACTGTGATAGTCTCTTTCCCTATTAGACTCTAAGCCCTGTGAGGGTCAGCACTTTGCCTTATTCAGACCTGTCTCTCAAAAACCTAAAGCCGTACTTTACACTTCACTAGAGACATTATGAGTATTCAATCAATATTGTTAAATGAATGGACTTGGAAATGACATGATCTGGAGCTGAAAATTGTTGAAGCTGGGTAATGGGTACATAGCATTTTATTATGTCATTTTTCTCTGCTTTTATGTATATTTGACTTCTTCTGTAATAAAAAGTTTTTAAAAGACATAATTTTTAACTTCTAAACAGTGTCTCTTATCACTTTTTAAATTGCAATAGACAAGAAATGGTGGGATAGACGCTGCCACAATTCCATGTGCAAGCCTCCAGGGTATGAGGTTATTAAAACAGTTGTTCAGAAAGGGCCTGCTGCAAAAGGGAACGTGAACAGGTCTTCCCTGAGGAGCCTTCACTCCATTTTTCCCCATCGTCCTGGGCCAGATCCACCACTTTCACACTGGTGGAGCGCAAAAATCAACAAACAAGATGACAAGAACAAGGGAAGACATTGTTCTGTCCAAAGTGGGCAATCTGTGACAGGGCTCAGGATGGCTGCACGGGCTTTGTAGCTTTTCCAGCGGTTCCTAATAAACCAGGCTTTGTGGAGCCTCACTGGGCCGTGCGGGGCCCTGTCCTTCTAAGGCTTTCTCCCTGTTCTGGCCTGGCTGCCGGAGAACTTGTTAGCGGTCATTGATTTCCTTGAGTTGGACTCAACTGAATTGGATTGCTTTGCTTTGCATTTTAAAAGGGGTGTTTTTCTTGAGGAAGCTGGAGGTTGGCACTGAATTGAAATTACACATTTGTGGAGCACTCAGGATTCATAACTATCATTAATTTTCTTCAGGGCACGTGAGACATTTGGCTGAAGAAATATTATAACAACGACCTTAGCTTAAAGAGGTCACCCACATGGTGGGAATGAAGTTAAGGAAATAATGCATTTCTTTCTACTAATCAATCAGCTAATCAACATTGACTGTGCCCTTATCATGTGTCCAGTAGGTGTCAGGGCCCACCTGTAGATGGAAATAACAGGTTAACAACTATTGTGGGAGAAACTGGCTACAAACAAGCACGTGAGTTCCGGGGGTTCCCCAGGGCAGCAGCACAGGATTAATGAGAAGCCTGGCCCATGAATATAGATTGTTTTTTTAAAATTCTAAGTATCTGATTTAAAAAAGGCCTAATAAAATTAATGTGACAGGTATTATTGTCTTGATTTTATAAATGACAAAACCAAAACTCAGAGAATTAAACCCAATTTGGACCTGAATTCAAACACCAGTTCTTACCATTCCAAAGACATTGCTTTTATGTCATCATACTGCCTGGTGGCAGTTTGTACTTGGGTACACCAAAAGGATGCACAGAACTGAACTTTCTCAGTTGAGATAAAGGGTGTCTTCAAGCAATCAGACTTTGGTTAGTTACAACCAAGCTTCAAGTTTTACTAGTTTGAAATCCTGCAATGCTTGAATTTCCACCAGATGTCACCATTTACCATTCTTCACTCCCCTCAGGCCGACTTTTACAAAGTGTTAGGAAAGAAGAGCCCATCTTGCTCTTGGGCTCCTCAGAGTGGTTATTGCATCTGGGCATGTGGTGGAGGGCTGTGTGCCAAGAGGAAGCAGCTGAGCTCTGAATCCTGATTCTGTGGCAAGGAATTTGAAAATGTCGTGAGCCCTCTACTGTTCTGATTTCCTAAAACCCAAAGGCATTCTTTTTTTTTTCTCCCCCTTGTGATTTCATGTATCTAAAACACAGCCCATTTCCGATGCACAAGCCAAGCAGAGTTATAACCTGGCCTTTGGCCAGGGCTGCAGAGAAAAAAAAGAGGTTTCAAAGTGAAGGGAGGATGCCAGGAATGCCTCGGCTTCTCTGTAATCAACAATAGAAGCCAGTGCCAGATGGGCTGGGCTTTGGAACAGCCTGGAGTGTGGCTGCTGAGGAGGGGCCAGAAATAGCCCCAAACACCAGGTCTCCCTCCTGCTCGGATTTTATATGTCCCAAATTACATTATTGGGAGTTCATTCTTGTGGACTTATTATTAGCAATCCCTATAGATTTTGTGAGTAGGCACAATATATTAATTCAGTTATATCTAAGCGCAAATGAATTTGAACTTTATTTTTTTCGTAATGGGGACCAGTCCAGAAGGAGAGAATGAGGTGCCTAGGGTATGCCCGGAGATGTTGGGGAAGGGTCTAAGGTGATGGGTAGAGGAGAGAGAGGGAGGCGGACTTCTCCTATCTCTCAACGTGGCCCAGGCTCGTGGACACAGTGCCTGGGAGACCTACGTTTGCTTCCTGTTCCTCACACTCTTCATCTTGCCTACCTCTAGTACTGTAAAGAATGCATGTGAAATAATGATTGGCTCCCAATAGCCTGGACTCCCCCACGGGCCAACAAATGGTGGAAGATGCCTGGCTTTCTTCTCCAAAACTGCAACTCTGGGCAAGGAGAAGCTTACGGATCTTAATGACACTATTAAGTTGTTAAAAATAGTCAGTTTACAGCTAGTTTTAAGAAAAGACAAAAGCAGGAAAAAGGAAACAGTGGTACCTGGCTTTATTTGCTTATCATATGCTTATTTTTCAATCCAGCAAACTTATTCTGCAACACAACTGTCTTCATAATTAAGTGCATGTCCTCCTTGGGTGGTGCTGATGGTAATAAAGCTCTTTCTTCCACTGAAAACCTCAAAAAATATATTCCTCAGAACATGTGATCTCCTGGGCAAATGGCCACAGAAGAAAGTCTTATCTAAATGGGACAAAATCTAACTTGAGAAGCAGAGAGAGCAGATTTATTGTAGAATTGGGAAATGTGGTGTGAAATCGGTAATATCAAATGCTTTGATCATTTCTTTGTAGTAATGTTTTACATATTCTATTTGGTCATATTTTGCTTAACTATTTTTACACAGCCTCGAGCAACCTTTACTTATAACTTAGAGATAAAAATATTCACGTCAGTGTGTCTGGATTATCAGACGACCCACATTGCATCAATCTGGCTTGACTCAAGAGAACAGAAAGGGTCACACAAAAACATTGCAGTCACCCGTGTCCTCTGGGGGAGGTGGATGTATCTGGTGACTCTAGACTCTAGTTACTGTGGGGCCCATGCACAGATCTTTGCTAGATAGGGAATAAACAGAGGTAATGTGTGGATTTATGTCTGGGCTGTGATTATAAAGCTTGTGAGTGATAGATGTAAAAATGCCAGGACTTGAACATCTAGATCAGGCTGCTCCTTTGAGTATTGTAGTTGCTTTGGGAGGCACATAGGCTGGTTCAAAGTTGCAGTCACTCAAAACCTGTGTTGGACAACTCCTTTAATTATCGCACAATCTACAGGATGGCCAGGGCTGATTGACCCAGGGGTAGGTACCAGACCCATAGTGGGCCAGATTCTCTCTCCTGGGCATTGGAAATGAGAACCTGGGGATGTAATGATGGGAGGATGTTTGTTGGTGCTGAACTGTCTTCCTAGCATCTCCTACAGACTCCCGGGCTCAGGTTCCCGAGCTGCCAGGCTTCTGCCTTGCTGCTGTTTTCTTTAATCTTCTAATCACACGCAATTTGAAATGGCATTTACAAAAAGATGTTGAGACTACGCTTATGCTATTTTAGTTCATTTGAAAATGAATCCTTACGATTTTTAGTGTTGAGAATTAAAAATCGTATAAGCAAAAATATTTTTATGGGAAAACACATTTGGTTAGATCATTGATGTCAAATTAAATTACTTATGGAGTCTGCAATTTGGGATTCATTCTTGAATATATTCCAATTGTCACTACCTGATGTAAACTATTATCTTTCAACATATTTGCTTCATCTTAAAATTCCTTTTCTCAGTCATTTTAAATGCAGTAACTGTAAAACCATTCTATAGAAGTTTCTAAAATAAGCTCTTGAATTATACAAGCCTAATCTGAATTGCTTTTACTCACAGAATGGAAAGAAATGGTTCATTCAGAGCCTCTAACAACAACTTTACTATCTAAGGTTCCCAGGAAAGTTCATCTACAACTTTAACTTGCAAGAAGGCAAAACTTTAATGTAAACTTTCTAGGACGTTTGCAGTGATTTGATGGTTTTGTGAGGGCTGCCTTGATTTTGGCAGGAAAGCCAACATAATTTTGTGAGATCTTTTCAACAGTGGAAATGAGACTTTAATATATTTTTTCATAACCATTAATTTAAAATCTGAGAGTTATAAATTTCACGAAAAAAAAAATCAGATGGCACACCAAGGCTGACCAGGACTTTTACAGTGTGTTTTTTAGACTTCCAGACAGGATCTTTTGCCACTTTTAAAGATCTTTCTAAAAGGCCAAGGTCAATTGTGATAACCAGTGAATGTCAGAAGCACATACTAGCAGCTCCCACTGTGGTACATAAATAGAATATGGAAAGCTGTATTTTTGTGTTTATGTTGGCCTCTGAAAACATAATCCAGGGGTGAAAACTCAATCTTTAACGTAAAACTCTGAAAGACAATTATTTAAATATTTAAAAAATTGGCAAACATGACCAAAACCTGTATTTAAAAGTTTTTATGTAAAACTTTGAAGAGTGAGACTGATGTGGATCTTCTTTGTATACTGTTACCTTCAGAGTAGCAAAATCTTTACTTCCCCTGTGGAAAGTGAAGACGCTCACATTGAGGTTTAGTAAGCAAACACTTGGATTTTTTACATGATATGCCCACTGAAGGACTAAAAAAGTCACATTTTTCTCAGAAGGTTCACTTTGTGATAGTTAATGAAAAATAATTAATGACTGAATTCTTTAACTTCAGAGGATTGACTTTTTCAAGTCAATTGGAAAGCACAGCTGTACGTTATATATTCCTTATGTATGTGTATATATTTATACGTATCTTTTAAAGATATACATTCTTTTCTGAAGTATAAAGGATGCTTTACTCTTTTTTTTCTTTTTGGTAGTCATCCGAGTTTTCTAAAAGAAATTAGAGCTCAGGGCTGAGTGGAGGGTGTGGTGGGGCCTGTAAGTCCTGCTCAGTACCTTGGTCTTCTCCACCTCCTCTCCAGCCTCCTTTGCAATTAGATTGGCTTTGTACTTGGCTCTGGTTAATAAATGTGAACATGAGTGGAAGCAATGGGGTTCACCTCCCATGGAGGGGGTTAAGCTTAAGGTACGCCTTTCCTGCTCTCCCTTTCCTGAATATGCCTCCAGAGCGAGCTCAGATTCACAATATGTCAGAGCCACAAGATGGAAGCAACCCTAGTCCTGAGGTCACTGCTTAAAAGAGAATAGCCTGACCTACCTCACACTGTGGCGTGAGTGAAAAATATGCTTTTATTTGCAAGCCGCTGAGATCCTAGGGGTTTATTTGATACTGCAGTGTGAGCTCGCCCTCCTGACTGATACAGATGGGTTGTCTGAAGTGGGCTACCTATACTGAAGACCTAATATTTGGTGTCTGGTGTTTTCGTCAGTCAAGGTGAAACATACTTGTTATTCATGAAAATATCATTTATTTCTTAAATTTTATAAAGATTATATGAGAGATTTTGGTGGTTGATTTTTGCCATTCACTTTTAAATTGATCACCATTTCATTTATTATTTTGAAAGGCATTCGCTGGTATCTCAATGCTTCATCAAGTTTAAAGAGAGTCCAAATTACCTATATAAGCAAAACTCTGAGACAATAACAATACCCTTCATGACAAGCTGAAATACTATTTGACTTTATTTTAGTTTTGCTCTGAGTGTTACACAATAGTCCTGGATTCTGTTAGCTAGTAATTCTGTGACTGAGTAATTGAAGAAGTTTTTTCACCTTTCTAGAGACTGCACCCACAGACTTCTTTACGGTCCCCATCAAAGGAAGACAATGAGCACATAGCTCATTGAGAAGTCAAGTCCCTGAGTCTGGAGCCTGGTGAGCCAGACTACCTTTGGGTTAACAACAGCTATACTCCCTTTGCCCCATCTGGAAATGCCCTGCAATAGGTACTGGAGGATTGCCAATTAACATGTGTGGGCTCACTAAGGAAGATGTAATCATGACAGACTTCCAAATGAGCCTTTTCCAAAAGAGGCTTGTGAACATCTCAAGTGCTAAACTAACTACTACAGAAGTCTTTTCAGAGGGGCTTTGAAAGATAAGGACGAACTTTGTACTTCTCAGTGAACCTTCTCTTTCACAAATGGAGGCAGGATATAATAATTTTTTCTTCTGAATACATTAATATTAAGATATTAGATACCAGAAGCATAATTCCTTTCTTACTAAGATATTCTTCCTTTCTTCTTTCCTCTATTCTTTTTCATCACACAAAAGCTCCATCATCTTTGTAGCTACCCTTTGGGTAGCTCAAGAGACCACACATCTAGAACAGGAGAGCACTTAGAACCTGCATTCTTAGAGGGGCAGTGACATTGGAATGCTATGAAAAATAATTTTGTGGAAACAACTTTCTAGTCTAAGCTTTGACCACTTTTATTACTGAGAAAGAATGCAAACACGTGTATACATACATTACATACGTATCTATATTGATCAATTGATAGATAAATAGGTAGATGTTTGGCTTTTACAGTGTGTCTGTAAAGCTTTCTCTCTTTCATGAAATCCTGCCATTTTTGACAACATGGATGGACCTTGAGTGTGTTATGCTAAGTGAAATAAGTCAGATGGAGAAAGACAAATACCACACGATTTCACTCATATGCTGAAGATAAACAAGCAAATACATAGACACAGAGAACAAGTTGGTTATCAGAGGCGAAGGGGGATGGGAGGAGGGGGAATGAGGTAAAGGGGCACACATGTATGGTGACAGATGGCAACTAGACTTTTGTTGGTGAACATGATACAGTCTATACAGAAGTTGAAATATAATGATGTAGACCTGAAATTTACATAATGTTACAAACCATTGTTACTTCAATAAAAATAAATAAATAAAATGTGTACTGCAAAAAATGCTTTCTCTCAATCTCATGTCTATCACTTAGGAAGAATGACTGGCCCAGGGTGCACCCTGCCTCCCACTTGCACTCTTTGCCCTGAGTGAAAGGAAGTAAAAATCTTTGTAGAGAAAAAAATTCTGAGTGCATGAGTTTGTATGTGTGCGCATGTGCACACATGTGTGTGTAGGTATTAATTTATTTTGTAGTAAATTAGTGGCCCATGTTGGGGTACTTTGGGCAGAATGCACAGGGAAAACACTATTAAGAAGGTGAGCTTCAAATCCAGAAAATTATAGCCTGCTTTCTAAATCACTGTCAGAAGCAATCGAATTAGTGATAAAATCAGTGTCAGAAAAATCTAGGTTCAAAGCACCCTCAGCTGACTTCACATTTGTAACTAACAGTGTTTACAAACTTGTTTTCTCATCTCTAAAATGTGTCTAGTGACATCAATGCTACTGACCTAGTGAAATTGGTTAAGGATCCAAATGGAAAGAAAAACTGAAAGAACTATAACAATAAATACAGGCAAATGTTGTGTTGGTATCATTAGTCTAACCTGCCTGGAGGTTTTTTTTAAACTCTTTGTTTTGAAATAATTATAGACTCACAGGAAGTTCAAAAAAAACAAATGTGCAGGGTGATCGCATGCACTCTTCACTCAGTTTCCCCCAGTGGAAAATTCATAAGACTGGTACAATACCAAAATTAGGAAACTGACATTGATACAACTCAAAGAGTTTATTCAGATTCCACAAGTTTCACATGCAGCTCTATGCAATTTTATCACATGTCTAGGTTTGTGTAACCACCATGGAAATCAGGATAAAGAGCTGTTCCATCACCATAAGGCTCCCTAGTACCACCCGTTTGCAGCTACATCCATCACCCTCTCTCTATCCTAATCTTTGGCACCACTAATCTGTTCTCCATCTCTCTCATTTTATTCCAAGAACGTTATATAAATGGAATCATACACTATGTGACCTTTTGGGACTGGCTTTTTTCTTTCTGAATCATTCCCTTGAGATATATCCAAGGAATAGATATCAATAGTTCATTCCTTTTGTGTATCAATAGTTCACTTCTTTTATTTGCTTCATAGTATTCCACAGCATGGATGTACAACGCTTTGCTTAATCATTCATCTCTTGAAGGACTTTTGGGTTGGTTTGAGTTTTTGGCTGTTATGAATAAAGCTGCTATGAACATTAGCACACAGAGTTTGCGTGAACGTAGGCTTTCATTTCTCTGGGATAAATGCCCAATAGTGAAATTGCTGGGCCATAGGATAGCTGCATGTTTGGTTTTGTAAGAAACCGCCAAATTGTTTCCTGACTGGCTGTAACATTTTGCATTCCTACCAGCAATGTATGGGTGATTTAGTTGCTCTACATCCTTGCCAGCATTGGTTTTGTCACTGTTTTTCATTTAGCCATTCTGATAGGTGTGTAGTGATATTGCAGTGTGCTTTTAATTTTCATTTCCCTAATGGCTATTGATGTTGACCATCTTTTCATGGGTTTGTTTGCCATTTGTATGTGTTCTTTGATGAAATTTCTGTTCATGTTTTTGCCCGTATTCTTAATTGGATTGTTTGTTTTTTACTCTTGAGTTTTGAGAGTTCTTTATGTATTCTAGATACAAAGCTTTTGTCAGCTATGGGTTTGCACATGTTTTTTCAAAGTCTCTATCTTATCTTTTTAAATAGGGTCTTTGGCAGAGCAAAAGTTTTTATTTTTGATGAGGCTCAATTTATCAATTTTTCCTTTATGGATTATGCTTTTGATGTCTAAGAACTCTGTCTAGGCTTAGGTTGCAGAGAGTTTCCGTCATTCTTTTCTAAAAGTTTTATAGTTTTCATATTGCTGTACATTTGAGGCCAGGGTCCATTTTGGTTTAATTTTTGTACGTGGCGTTAGGCTTAGGTTGAGGATTTTGGAGGGTTATATCCTGGGGCCTGGACCTCTAGACACATGGTAGTCCATGTTCTCCCTGTCTGCTTCCCTATGTTCCTAGACATTATTTCACATGTACCTTAAATTTCACCTCTTTCACTTTTTTATTAGGACTTTTTCAGTTGTTTTACTTCATATTGATTATATTCTATCCCTAATTTCTTACTGCCTTACTGATTGAAAGAATGTAATTACATAGATATCCTCTATTATTGACATGTCATACCAATAATATGATAATATGTATGATGATAATATGTTGATATGTTTGTCTTTCTCAATATATTGTCAGTCTGTAGAGAGGGAGGAGCATAACTTTCTCTTTCTCAAAATCAAGTTTAAGGTTTTGCAGATAGCAAGGACTCAATGACATTTGTAGAATTGAAACCAGTTGAGTTCTGTTTTGCTTACATTTTCTAGAAGAGGGATATGTGCATCTATATTCAGATGAAATATGAAAAGATCTTTCAAAAAGACAAAAGTTAATGGAGAGGCCAGTAGCATCCTAAATGGATCACTCCTGACTGCTCACACTGCTGCTGTACAGGTTGGAGCCTGTTTACTGGGGTTAACGTGTTCAGGATGGCGGCTTGCATTGCCCAGCGTCAGCAGTGCCTTCGATTCCAGGATGCTGTGGGAGGGTGTACTGCTGATTCTTAAATACCTTTGCAATTCATTTGCCTATGATTCTGCTTAAAGCATACTCTCAAGACAGTTTCTTTGAAATTATATGTGTGTGCACCTGCTATATATATATATATATGTGTATATATATATATGTATATATATATATATATATATGTACACACACACACACAACATATGTATGCTGTTGTTGCTGTCTGTTTCCTCAGAGGAGCCTCCAAATTCTACCTTCTAGAAATCTCTTTTGCGTGTGTTGCCTACATTTAGATTCCCATTAATTAAGGACTTCTGGCCACGATATCCCGTTTCTTTCTAGTTTCCTAAAGACCTAGTGCTTAGGTGATAATAGGGGGTGTGGAATTTCATGTATTATTTGTTCTCGTATCTCTCAAAGCTTAGAAACAAAGCTCAGTACATTTCTACAGAAAAAGCCTCCTAATGACTTGGTTTTTTAAATTTTTCTTTGCCTTGTACCAATTGGTTAAAATGACATCAGGGAAAAGGTAGATCCAGAGAATTAAATAGAGAGACTACAAATAAATAATGATTATTATCAGGATACAAGCTGTGGCACAGGGAGAAATGAAATTTCTGGTGTTACAGTGGTTGGACAGGTTTGCTGTACTATGATTTTAATTCTAAGCTCTGCTCATTATTTGTCAGACATTAACACATGCCCATCCCCCCCACAGCAAATAACCTTTTAAGAGATGGTTCTATTAATAGTTAAGAGGATTTACAGACTTAAACTCTACTTTTTGTAAAGATACACACAACACCGAGCTGCAAAATTGTCACTCTTTGGGGAAATGATGTTATCTAGCTTAGGAAATCTACCTTAGGAAACTATGAATTTAGGAAAAACACCCTTTAACTCCTTAATGTTCTTACGTTTCTGTATTAGTTTAACAATTTTTTTCTCCAGCAACTTTTATATAAAGCAGTCTATAATTTTTCTTTCATTATTATATGGGATGTAATCTTTATATCAGAGAAAAACATTCAAGGGTTATTAGCGATAGCCACAAAAATCTATGTCTAGGTTTTCTGCTTTTTAAAGCATTACCTCCTGAAACAAACAAAAATAAATAAATGGTCATTTGTCTTGGTAAAGGGAAGCTGTTTAGGTTGGAGGAAACTAGACATAGCAGGTAATTATCATCAAGGTTCTAGTTTTTCTCTTGGGGTTGGTTTGAAAACATTTTTGATATATCATCAACAAGATAAAGTGAGCAATGGCAGTAAAGCTTGCTTATGGTTTAATTCTTTCTGGATAAACCCTTTCCTTGTCAAGAAATTATCATGGCTTGTGGAGATTGTCTTACCTTGAGATCATGCACAACCTTGGTGCCGCCTTCATTTTCCATGGTTTGGTGAATGTTTGCATCATATCCCTCAGCCCGAGGCAGGGGCAGAAATTGCTTCCACACAGACGGCTTGGAGCAATGTGTCTGGAGACACTCTGGGCTGTCTTGGGATAGCTGGGGCATGTTTTTACAGTAAGGGCTCCAAATGAGTCCTGTGGCCTGATTTTAACTAGCTCCGGGTCCACTCTATTTCTCTTTGTTTGGCTGATGCTGGGCCGTCTCTCATTCTGCTGAGGACCTCCCTGGAAAGTTATACTAATGGAAGCAAAAGGATTATCTGTTTTCTGGATCAGCAGCTTATCCTCAGATCTTTAGTGTTCTATTCCAGGTAGAGCCTCCTATCCTTAATGTCTAGGTATCTTATGACTGCCCTCTACAGGTAGCAATGTATTCTAATTCAATTTAATCCTAAATCAAAAATGAAAGAAGTTATTCAAGTGATGTATTGCTTGGTATATAATGATAAAAGAAGTAGATTGCTTGGCAAAATTCTGTATTAGTAGTTATGTGATAGGGAATAGTGCTTGACATCTTGGACTACGCAATCGAGAGGCAGATGGTCCCCTAATCTATCTAGGTTTCTTAAAAGGTCATTTTAGCAGCAGTCAGCTTTGTAGCTAGAAACGTATGCTAAACTCATACCCAGACTTAAGCCCGAGGATTATTACACTTTTTATTTATCTCATGCAGAATGAATTAAAGTGTTTTCTTATGAGGTAATTAGTTATCTAATGATAAAGTCAAGAATTGGCTTCTAACATCATACTTCATACTTGTAAAGTGCTTTATAAATATAGGATTATTAAACAGAATGTGAAAAGGTGGAACATAATATCTTTCTCTCAAGAGGTATCTAATACCCAAGTAGCCTCTCCTGGGTCTGAGGGTGCACAGAGGTAAGGGCCCCAGGTGTGTTCCTGGAGACCATGAACTGGAGAAGTTTCCTTTTATAAAATGATACCAGGCACCCCAAATTGATCTACAAAACACACACAAGCCTTATCAACCCTAGCTCCCTTTTTTTGCAGAAATTGACAAGTAGATTCTAAAATTCATGTGAGATTGTGAGGGACCCAGAATATTCAAAACAATCTCATAAAACAAGAACAAAGTTCAAGGATTCACACTTCTCAATTTTAAAACTTACTACAAAGCTACAGTAATTAAGATTGTGGTGCTTGCATAGGACAGACATATAAATCAATGGAAGAGAATTGGGAGTCCAGAAATAAATCCATATATTTATGGTCAGCTGATTTTCAACAAGATGCCAAGGCAATTCAATAGGGGAAGGAGTTGTCTTTTCAGCAAATAGAGCTGGAACAACCGGATAGCCACAGGCATAAAAATTAAGTCGCACGTCTACCTCTTACCACATAGGAAAATTAACTCAAAATGAATCATAGACCTAAATGTAAGAGCCAAAACTTCTAAAACTCTTAGAAGAAGACATGGGGGTAAATGTGACCTTGGATTAGGCAAAACCTTCTTAGATACAATACCAAAAGCAGAAGTGACTAAAGAAAAAATAGGTAAACTGGATTTCATCAAAATTAAAAACTTTTGTTCTTCAAACAACATCATCAAGAAAGTGAAAAGACAACCACTAAACAGGAGAAAATATTATAATCATATATACGTAATAAGGGATTTGTACCCAAAATGTATAAAGAGCTCTTACAACTAAAAACAAAACAAAAAAACTACTAAAAATGAGTGAGATGTCTAAATAGATATTTTCCAAATGGCCAATACAAACGGCCAATAAGCATGTGAAAATATGCTCAACATCATTAGGGAAAGGCAAATCAAAATCATAATGGGATACCACTTCATACTCAGTAGGTTGGCTTGAATCAAAAGGACAGGCAATAACAAGTGTTAGTGAGTATGTGGAGAAATTGGGACTCTCATACAAAGCTGGTGGAAATGTAAAACATTGCAACCACTTTGGAAAACAGTTTGGCAATTCGTCAAAATGTTCAACATAGAGTTACCATATGATCCAGCAATTCCCTCTTACATATCTATCAAGGTAAGAGAAGTGAAACATCTGTTCACACAAAGACCTGTGCACAAATGTTCAACAACTGGAAAAAATCCACATACTCATCAATTGGTGAATAGATAGACAAAGTGAGGTATATCCATACAATGGAATACTATTCAGCAACAAAATGGAATGAAATTCTGACACATGCTACCACATGGATGAACCTTGAAAGCATTACGCTAAGTGAGAGAAGCCAGTTACAAAAATCCACATATTGTATGATTCCATTTATAAGAAATTGTCCAGAATAGACAAATTTTTAGATACAGAAAGTACATTGGCAGTTGCCTAGGGCAGGAGGGTTTGTGGAGAGATGGAGAATGACTACTAATGAGTAAGACGTTTCTTTTCAGGGTGATGAAAATGTTATGAAACTGATTGCAGTGATGGTTGCACAACCCTGGGAATATACTAAAAATCATTAAATTGTACGTGTTAAATGGGTGAATTGTATAGGATGTGAATTATATCTCAATAAAGCTGCTACATTTTAATAAAAAGAGAGGCAACTTCCTCAAGTGACCAAATGTTTCAGGGCAGGGCAACAAATCTCTTGACAGTTAAAAAAACATGGTCCCCAGAGGCACTTGAGTGAGGAGATGGTTGAACTATTACTGTCTGAGGGTCTAGGGACCTGGTGTTTGGTTCTAGACTCTTAGAATGAAAACAGAAAGGTGGTATTAGTAGCCTCAAATTGACCTGTGTGATTTTTGGAGCTGGAAGGGACTATCAAGATAGTCTCATCCTCCTGCCCATTTTATCATCTTCATTTTGTGAATATGGAAACTTGCGGGAAATGTTAGGTGATACATCTGAGGGCTACATATAGCAGTTTGCTTGGTTCCAGCCTCCACATCTCCCTATACTAGGGCCAGAGCTACATCCTACTCTGCAAACCAAACTGTTTGTGTTTCCCTTTTTCTTTAGGGATGTCATTTAGGTTCACCAGCCTTTTTCTCTTGCTCCCACTTTCACTTTTGCACCTTCTATTCTGTTGTTAAATCTTGGAGGAAATATTTCATTTGAACATTTGTTAAATTCTCTCTAGCACCTTCCTCATATCTGTAAAGATTCTCTGTTTTGGAAATTTCTTTCTACTTAAAAACTATTTCTATGAATATTCTTTCATCTTCTTAGATTTAATTTTTTAATGACTTTGAGTAAGTCTGCTAATAAGATGTTTTGTACTCAGTGCTGGCAGGATCCTAGAAACATTGTTTTTTCATATTTGAGGGGGGTGTGTGTGTGTGTTTGTGTGTAGTGGCACAGTTGCATTGATTGGCCTTCCCCGGCATTCTATGTAAACCAATTTTCGTGAAGATTACAGTAAGAGGAGTTTGTATGAGAAAATAATTTTACAATTTGCCAAAAGTTCAGTAAAGCACTTATGACAAATACATATATTTATTTTGCATTATTTCAAGTAAAAGGACATTTCCTAAAGGGTCAGTGTAACAGGCAGAACTGAGAGAACTCTGTGTAACAAGCATAAACATCTCAGAGTGTAGTGGCGGAGGTAGGTTAAGGGACCACTAATCTATAAAACTTGGTTACTATGAACCTGATTACTAACTCATGACAGTGATAGAAAACAAATGGATTGACAGCCAATTGAGTAGAGTGTTAATGGAGTCAAAGTATCAAGACACTCAGCCTTGCAAAGCCCAGCTAACATTCTTCTCTTAGGCAAAGGAAGCTGAAGACAGGCAGATCCAGAGAATGAAATCCTTACAGAGGCCCATCTCAGACAGTGAGGGAAGACCAAGACAAGGGAGGTTTCCGTCCAAGACTGCACCAGTAGTCACAGCTCGGATTGTGGATCAAAGCATTTGCTTTACTGATGGGATAGGCGGTCTCTGTTGTGTGTCATGGATCCTTGTTTTTCCTCCACCACTGACTGTTGAAAGTGTTGGTCGTAGAAGCATCTCATAACCGTGGATTGACAGCCTTAAAGACCTGCACGTGGACCAGACCAAAAGGATTGCAAAACACCAAATGACCCTTGGCATTTAGCCAATGCAGTAACTAGAAAAGGCTCTGGGTTGTCTTCTTTTAGAATGAGTACATTTTAAATTTCATGTAGATGTGTTAAGAGTGTGTGTGTGTGTGTGTGTGTGTGTGTGTGTGTGTGTGTGTGTGTGTAAATGCCAGACTGTCAAGAGGCGAATGTAGTGGACCTCTTTTTTCTTGTCAGCATTCGTGTCTTCTTTTTCTAATAGCAGAACTCTAGTTTTCCTTTTTTTTTTAAAGATTGGCACCTGAGCTAACGTCTGTTGCCAATCTTCGTTGTTTTTTTTTCTTTTTTCTTCTTCTCCCCATAAGCCCCCCAATGCATAGTTGTATATTCCAGTTGTGAGTTGTGAGTGCCTCTGGTTGTGCTGTGTGGGACACCACCTCAGCATGGCCTGATGAGTGGTGCAATGTCTGTGCCCAGGATCCAAACCAGTGAAACTCTGGGCTGCTGAAGCAGAGCCCGCAAACTTAACCACTTGGCCATGGGGCCGGCCCCTCTAGTTTTCTTTAGGGAAATACGTCTATCCCATTCTCAGTCCCTGTGATTTGGATAGAGCTGATTTTGCCTCCAGCTCCAGGTCTGTGAACACAACCCAGGCCTGGCCAATTAGTGAATTCCATCCTTCTCAAAGTCAAGTATGTGTTCGATTAAAGTCAGCCCTAGGACTTTTGCTAAAACTGTTTGAAAAGCCGTGTTTGTTTTCCACTGGGGTTACTAACTGGTAGAATATAAGTCTGGCACCACTGACGTATGTCTTTGCCAATGCTGCCTAAGAATGAAATCAGCTTATTGTGAACAAGAGTCAAAAAGCAGGCAGAGAGAAAGACAGATTTCTGACGTCATTTGAGTAATTCACTGTTCCTGAAGATCTACTCATAGACTCTTCATTTACATGGTTCAATGACTTCTTTAAAAATAAAAAAAATATTATTTTGACAATATTATTACTATTTGCTTAAGCTAGCTTAATCTATTTCCTTTCACTTGCAGAATATACAAAGGGCTTATTATAGTGCCCAGCACATAATAAACTCTTGCTAAATGGTAGCTATTATT